TGTGGAGTCTTGGTATGTTGCTGTGGGCTAATCAGACTGTAAAGTTGTTTGAACTGCAAGGTTGGTGGTTCAAGCTCTCCAGCTGCTCCTTGGAAACCCTAGACAGGGTCACTATGGGTTGGAATCGACTCAACAGCACTTAACAACAACATATAAAAATCTGTAAATTTCTGCTATGCTTTCTTTGTTTTGCTTATAGAAGTAAAACTGTAATTTAAACAATGTTTTGTAATTGACTTTCTCATTCATGTCTCAATCCAACACTGGTGAGCATTAACAATTTCCTATCATTTCAACCAAGAGTCCCTGACTTCCGCTATCATCTGATACTGGTCATTTCCTCTCTGGAATCTGCCAGTTCTACTGGATTCCATGACACCACTCTGTCCCAGGTCTCTTTTACCCGAGTCTTCCTAGCTAGATTCCTTTGCTGGTTACTTTCCCACCATCTACTCCATGAACTCCTTGTATGGCACTGTAGGATCAGCACTGGACTCCAAACCATATGATCGGCAGTTCAAACCCACCAGTTGCTCCTTGGAAACCCTAAACAGGGTCACTATGAATCAGAACAGACTTGAAAGGCACTTAACAACAACACAAGTTTTCCCTACCATCATGCTGTATTCATTCAAAGAGTCATCACTACAGGAAAATAACTGTCAGAACCTCATTTGTCAGTGATTTTGAATCTAAACCAACGTTCCAAAATAATTCATCAGTTGAACAAAAGTTTGTATTTGGGACGTGATATGTATTTTCACCCTGAAATTTACTTGAACTAGATTATAGTCAGCAAGCCCCTACACTAGAAAAGAATGGAGCAAACTGGGGAAGAAAGCTTGGGAAAGGGATTGTTTAAAGTGTTAGCTTAAAAGAAGAACAAGGCTAATGGCAGAACGGTTGGGCAAGTTCACATGGGATAGGTGAGACAGAGCTAAATGACAAGGTATGCACAACCCTGGAATAACAGGGCTTCAGGATACAGGGGTTGAGACATGGCTTCAAAGGAGGAAAAGAGAGAAATAATGTTCGGATGCTGGGCCGTCTTTTGAATCTTGGTCTCCCTTGCCTACCATTGTGAAATAGACACTGGGGGTGGGGGAAGAGGAGATAATAGCCAGAAGCATCACAACAGAAAACATGTGGTCCCGGATCCAGTCTATAACTGACTGAAATACCTGGGGTGGGGGTGGTGGGGGAGAAGCACGACGGCCAAGACCCAAAATGGTGGGGGGACTACGATGGCAAAGACAGATGGAGTGACTGGGGACACGGGACTCAGGGAGGGAGAGGAGCTGTTTGCTGACAGCCGGGGGGGGGGGGGGGGGGGGGAAGGCTGTGGGGTATATATCCTTTGGTTATATGAGAGGCATGGAGGGGATTTTAATCACTGCGATGAAATGAAATACGACAGGATGAATGTGAAATTGAAGTGGAACAGAGGCAAATAATGATGTATGCAAAACCTTGGAAAAACAGGGCTCTGGGATATAGAGATTGAGACATGGTTTGAACGGGAAAAGGGGGGAAATAATGTTAAGATGCTTGGCTGTCTGTTGAATCTTGGTACACCTTTCATAACGCTATAAAAAAGACACTGAGGGGAGAGAAAGGAATAGCCAGAAATACCACCAAATAAAGTTTGTAAGTCCATCTTCTGCCTATAACTGATTGTGGAATACTTAAAAGGGGAATACAACGTGCCCAGTGAAGGAAGCTTCCTGCAGAGCCTCTGCATTACACAAGATCACAGATGGAATCCTGAACAGCATCCAGAGCCTTCTGAGAGGAAAAGTCCACTTCAAAGGACAAGCAGGCCTGCCTGGAGTGGCCAGAAGACCAGAAGATACATCCTGAAAGAAAGACTGACAAGAAAAATACAAACCAATATTGGCAGGCCGACGGATTACCACAAGAACAAACAAGTGGCTTGCCCAGGAGACATCAAGGTAAGTGGTTGGGTCCTCCTAAAGGCAAACCCCCTTCTAACACTAAGGCTCAATAGGAATGCATGCTCTGATTGGTGACCACGTCCATCAGCGATAAGGGGAAGTGAGGGAAAAACAGCAATGAAGATGTGAGCTAAGTCCTACAATGCTCAATAAACTCCTGTGGACCCGGATGGAGACCTGGTTGTCCAGCAGTGTGCCAAGTCCAGGGGACTCTTGGACCCAGAGTCAGCAACATAGCCAGAGGACTAGAGTGGAGAGTGAAGAGTCCAGCTGATAAGAGAGGGCACATGCATAAGTACACCCACACTTGCAGATAATACCCACTTGACCTGGCTTCAACAGCTGGAGGATTAGAGCTCAAAGAGAAGAAAGAAGAAGGGAAAAAAGAATAATCTGATACAATTTGATGAACTTGACATACACCTATGGAAGCAATAGCTCAAAAGAGTGAACAAATCTTCACAGCAAGGATCATTCCCACCTCCTCCACACACTGAGAGGCTAGGGATGGGCAACTTGGACATTGGCTACCCAGAATGGGGAGGGGGGGGGGCGGGGGCCTACAGAGGCAAGAAGTGACTGACTTACAAGCTTTCAAGAGGGAACCTAGATCCAGAGGGCGTGGAGCAAGGTAGAATCTCCACCGAGTAGTATCCATTCTGCCTAGTCAAGGCTGATGAAAGGAGATGCGGATAGGTCTCCTGCGATACAACAGTGAATTGTTATCAGGACTGATTTTAAGGGCTGGAAATGTAAAAGTAGATGTTTTGGGGCAAAGGGAGGGGAGTGATTAACCTTACAGTCTAGGAGTGGAGGTCCCTGGGACTATCAAAGGAGAAGAGCAGAGAATGGAACCCTACCCAGAAAAGCAGTGATGCCAGGGATGGAGGTGGCAACGATAATGTGGGGAGATGGAGCAGCTGGAGACTTTGGACCTGAAGTGAGGGGCGGTGTGCGGACGACGGGGGGCAGGCTTGCAGGGTATATACCCTTTGGTTGATAGATGATGCATGGAAGAGATTGTAACCATGGTAAGGAAACGTCATATGAACGTGAAGCTGAAGTCCTCCCACGTAAGCTATCACATAATTCAGAACAGAGTATTCAAAAAAAAAAAAAATTAATAAACTTATGGAGTTAACTACACATATGGAGTCCTGGTTGCTTGGAGGGAGAAAGATGAGGCTTTCTACTCCCGTAAAGATTTACACCCTCGGAAACCCTGTACAGGGTCGCTATGGGTCGGAACCGACTCGACGGCACTTAACAACAACAACAACATGGAGTCCTGGTGTGGCGCTGTAGGATAAGCACTGGACCGCAAGGTCTATTTGAGCTGTAAAGGTTGGTGGTTCAAACTCACAGCCACTCCTCAGTAATCCTATACAGGGTCGCTATGAATCAGAACTAACATTCTCATATTTTCAAAAACTCAGATAATGTTAAGTGCGTTTAGTTTGTTCTGACTCATAGTAATCCTGTGTAGGTATTTTGAGGTTATAAATGTTTTCAGGAGCAGAAAGTCTCATCTTTCTCCCTCCAAGCAGCTGGTTGGGCTACAACTGGTAACTTTGTGGTTAATAGTCCAGTGCTTATCCTACAGACCCACCATGCTTCCACTTAGATGTGGTACTGTAGGATGAGAGCACTGGATTGTGAACCACAGGTCAGCCGTTCAAACCCACCAACTGCTCCTCAGAAACCCTATTACGAGGTTGCTATAAGTTGGAATCGACTTGACAGCACTTAAAATCCCTAGTCAATCTAAATTTACTTTCTGAAAAGGCCTTTCTGTGTCACCTTCAATAACAAGTTTCCCCTCAGCAGCACTTCTCCTAAGAACCCAGCTAGTTAGTTAGCATTTACATCTAAGACAAAGTCAAAAGCTTTCCTAACCAAAAACAATCCTTTAAGATGGTGGTGATAAGGAGATGGGAGGGAGGGCGGAAGAGGAAGAAATTTTCCTTGTCTGTGAAATATGTTGTTGTTGTTGTTGTTGTTGTTAAGTGCCGTTGAGTCGGTTCCGACCCATAGCGACCCGTACAGGGTTTCCAAGGCTGTAAATCTTTAAGGAAGCAGAAAACCTCATCTTCCTCCTGCAGAGCGGCTGGTAATTTTGAACTGCTGACCTTAAGGTTCGCAGCCAGAGTCATAACCTCTATGTTTAAACTAGGATGTTATTGCAAGTGAAAATAATCTGATTTCTCTCTGTTTCAAATGGACATGAAATCGCCTGAAAATTAGAAGCTGTGACCCTGGACTTGACTTATGCAAAAAATTTTAAAAATCACAATTAGGTTGTCAGAACTTAATTACACACACAAACAGAAAAGAACACTGACTGTTACTAACAAATCACTTCAGTTTATACATAGCAAAAGTCGACAATACTCTTTTATACTTTAATGACCTCAAAGGGATTCCCCAGTCATCAAGTAATGAGATGTGACGTATTCTATCTTGGGAGAGTTGAGGGTACTAAAAATGGTTAAATCATTATTTATTATTATTATTGTAACAGGTTTCCTCCTCTTATACCCAGCTGGCAGTCCCACACCTGGTAGGGTGTGCTTTGCCCAGGCCTCGTCTGATTCTTGTACGTCAGAAAACCCAAATCTGTCCTCATCACCTTCTGCTCCCCTCTGTTGCCCTCTGTCTCCCAGACCGCGAACAGACCCAAGGAGAGGGGCCTTGGTGTGGCGGTACAGTCCTCTGGGCCGGGTCCTGACAGCTCCGGCCCGGGCCCCGCCTGTCATAGGCTTCACGAACCCGGATTCGCAAACGGCTGCAACGGCCTCGGCTGCAGGCCTGGGGGCGGCGGTCCCTGGGCGGAGGCCGGCAGACCGGGCCTAGCCAGGCCGCGGCACCTCGCAGTGACCACGTCACCAGCTCCAGCACTGCGGAAATGGAGCGACGCGGCGGGAGGGAGGAGGGAAGCGCCGGGCGGCGTCGGCGCCGGCGCCGGCCCATTACCAGACGCCGTTTCTCCGTCAACCCGGGTCCAGGGGCCACTGACAACCGCCCGCCTGAAGCCCGTATACTCACCCGTATCTCCGATGATGATGTACTTGAAGAGATAGGCGTACGCCATGGCCGCGGCCGTTCAGTGCCAGGGCACACGGCTCCTGCTCCTCCTCCGCACCCCTCACTCCGGCGCCGCTCACGCTCCAAACGCCAGGCTCCTCCCGCCGCCTGCAGCTGCCGGGAGTGAGGAGTCGAGAGGAAGCGAGACAAGCTGATACTAGAAAAGGAAAGACAAGACAGAGCTCGGCCGAATCCAGCCGAACAATAACAGCCGCCGCGGCACCTCCGCCTAGCCGCGCGCCGACCGGAAGTGCTGCAACCGTCGGCGCCGCCGGAGGAAAAGGGCGGAGCCCCGTACTCCGGTCGCGCCCGTCCTGCCCGGCTGGAGCTCCGCACGCCCGGAGCCCCGCCCTGCCGCAGCCGGCCTGCAGCCGAGGCGGCTGCACGCCTCCTTCCTTGTCCTCTTCGAGTGCAGCAGGCAGGCCAGGCGGTGGTCGTCCCAGCACGGTTGAGCGGATGAACCCGACGGCAGCGAGACGTTGGGGTTGTGGAGGGCGTTCGGTTCGTCACTGCTGTGCGCGTGAACTCCGCGTCCTTCCGCCGAACGGTTAAGGCGCAGGCCTCGCGGTGAAATGCAGAAGTTGGGTTCAGTGCAGGTCCCGCCCTGGACTGGTGAAAAGTGCTGGAAATGCAGGAGCCTTACTGCAAGGGGAATGGGAGATGGTATCTCCAGTGTTTGGGGAGGAAGCATGGACAGTGAAATGGCAGTATTTGTAGGTTGGAAACAGTAAGTCAGGGTGCTGTGGGACGCTGACCTGTTCTTAATTTTTAAATACTAAGCCCATCTTCATAAGTGAAAACAAGGTGTAGAAATCTATGCATAATGTTCTTCTGATATGTAAAACTCAGAGTAATAAACTTAAATATTTCTGTGTGCAGTCGCCAGACAGCATGGGATTGGGGAAAAGACTGACCATCCACTGAAAATTTGTGCAGCTTGGGTTTGTTTTTGCGTTGCTCATGTATTAAATTTAAGAATATGTTTGAAGGAAAACCAGTTTTTTTAAAAAAGTTGAATTTCATTGACATTTATTTAGTACATACATATTAGATACTGTCTGCTAAGCATTGCAAATAGAGACAGACCCTGTTCTAAAGCAGATTTTCGAAGAGAAGAGAGTTTGTAACCTGTGGTGTCAGAAAAAAATGACCTGAAAAGATGATGTCTGATATGAAATAGAGTCCTGGTGTGACGCTGTAAGCTAAGCACTCGACCATAAGGTTGGTTTGAACCGCAAGGCCAATGGTTCAAACTCACCAGTCATGCCTCAGAAACCCGAAACGAGTCGCAATGAGTCAGAACGATTCAATAGCACTTAACAGTAACAATATGAATAACGAAGATGAGTGATGAGTAAGAGCTTGCCCTATGCACAAATGTTTAGGGAAAGGAACAGAAGTTCAAGTACAAGTAATAGAATGTACGAAGTTCTTGGAAAGTGGAAGTCAAAGTTGCTTATGGGAGCTAATTTACTAACTTGTAGTTGTTAAATGCCATGGAGTTGGTTCCAACGCATAGCGACCCTGTATAGGGTTTCCGAGGAGTGGCTTGTGAGCTTGAACCACCAACCTTGTGGTTCAAACCGACTTGCAGTCCAGGGAATTAACCCACAGTGCCACACCAGAACTCCTAATTTACTATTACCTTCTAAATTTGAGACTGGAAGGAGCATCATTGCTGGGGAGAAGTGACTGGGATTTAGTGACCTTAATTCCTGTTGACCAGTATTATCTTGCTTTTTGGAATTGCTCACTAATTACTACTTACACCATCATGGAGGGCATGCTGTGATTGGTTGCCTTGCTAAATGTGAACTCAAGTTTTTTGTGGAATATTTGCAAGAGATTTTATTTAAGGCTCAGAGATAATGCACAAGAAATTAACATGAAGAGTCACCTGGAATTTCTGAGCCATTTTCAGTTTGTGGTAGAGGGTAAGTGCCTCCCTAGGGAGGGTGAGCCCCTACCAAAGGGCTGTGTCTTCCCACTTCAGCGCCTTCACCCAAGTCTGTTCTAGATGATGATGCTATTAGGTGCCCACAAATCAGTCACAATCGATAGTGACACTTTGTGCAGTGGAACAAACTCTGTCTGCTCCTGCACCATCTTCACAAACATTGCTTAGTTTGAGCTCATTACTACAGTCATTATGTCAGTCCATCTCATAGAGAATCTTCCTTTTTTTCTGCTGACCCTCTGCTTTACGTAACTAGCATGATGTCCTTTTCCAGAAACAGGTCCCTTCTGATAATTTGGCCAAAATACTTGAGATGAAGTCTCACCATTATCGCTTCTAAGAAGCATTCTTCTTCAGCATTCTTCTTCCAAGACAGATTTGTTCGGTCCACCATATATTCACTGTTCTTTGCTAACACCATAATTCAAGTGCATCAGTTCTTCTATCTTCCTTAATGACATTGTTGTGGTTAAGTGTCAGGGAGTCAGTTCCTACTGTTAGCAACCGGAGCAGAGAGCTTCAGCTTTCTCTCACATTATTTATAGTAGACATCTAGAATATACTTTATCAAAGAAAAACTGAAGTCACTTCTCACAGGAGTGAGACTAAAGGGTAGTCTCAACAGGATATCTCTATCAGGATTATCTTGCAAAAGCATAACATCTTTATATATAGTCAGGAAGATTCATGCTCTTAAAAGAATTATGTAAATTACTAGAGAAGCTCCTGTGCTGCACAAATCAGAGTCTTATATGCCTTGTTAATCATAGAGAACTACTCACTGGACACAAAATAACTTGTCAAGAGAAAAGACAGTAAGCATTGAGTATATAAAAAGGTCATACAAATCATTGTAGATATTTAGAAGCAATGCAGTGTAAAGAAACTTGGAAAACCTGGTTTCTGGTCTTGACCCCCATCACCATCTGATTAAATGATTATGAGAAATCATTTGGCTATTTAAAAATGGTTATGTTTAGTGTCAGTGCACCCATTATAAAGTGAAGGGGTGTGTTACCGAAAAGTGCTAGCCCATTATCTGAAGGTCTCCAATTTTATAACATCATGGTAAATGGAGAAAAGATTGAAGTTGTTAACGACTTCATTTTGCTTGGATCCACAGTCAATATTCAAGGAGATAACAATCAAGAAATCATACAATGTACTGCATTGGGCAAATCTGTTGTACAAGACCTTTTAAAGTATTAAAGACTAAAGCTTTCAGTTTGAAGACTAAGGTGCACCTGACCCAAGGCACTATATTTTCAGTACCTTCACAGTTGTGGTTGTGTGCCCTGGAGTTGGTGCTGACTCATAGCGACCCTATATGGGGTTTCCAAGGTTGTAAATCTTTTCAGGAGCGAAAAGCCTCATCTTTCTTCCACGGAGCAGCTGGTAGATTCTAACTACTAATTTATGTTTAGTAACCCTGCTTGTCGCTATGGGTCGGAATCCACGTGACAGCACTTAACAACAACAACAACGACCCTGCTTGTAATCCACTAAACTACTTGGGCTCCTCATTAGCTTCATTTGCATGTGAATGTTGGGCAATGATTAAGGAAGACCACCTTAGAATAGATGCATTTGAATTATTTTACTAGAGAAGTACACTCAGAATGCTCCTTAGAAGCCAGGATGATGAAACTTCATTTCTTTCTTCAGACAGGTTATCAGGAGAGACCAGTCCCTGGAAGAGGACATCATTCTTGATAAAGCAGAGGGCCCTCAAAAAAGAGAAAGACCACAACAAGATGGGTTTACACAATGGCAGCAAAAATAGACTTATACTTAGTAACAGTTGTAAGGATGACACACAACTCTGGCACTGTTTCCTTCTGTTGTGCATTGGGTCTCTGAGCAACAATCTACACAGACACTTAACAACAACAACAATTTTATACCTATCCAAACTTCAGACCCAAAGCCCACCCATAAAGAAGGTGACAATCCTTTCATAAAAATTGTGTTGTTGTTGTTGTCAGGTGCTATCGAGTCGGAACCGACTCATAGCGACCCCATGCACAGCAGAACGAAACAATGTTCGATCCTGGGCCAACCTCACTACTGCTGCCACACTTGACACCATCAATGATGCCACCTTGCTGATCATCTCGTTGGGGGTCTTCCTCTTTTTCTCTGACCCTCCACCTTACCCAGCATGACATCCTTCTCCAGCAACTGTTCTCTCCAGACAATGTGTCCAAAGTGGGAGAGACGAAGCTTAGCCATCTTGGCCTCCAAGGAGCACTCTGGTTGTACTTCTTCCAAAACAGATCTATTGGTTCTTTTGGCAGTCCATGGCACTTTTAGTATTCTCCTCCAACACCACAACTCAAAGGCATCAGTTCTTCTATGATCTTCCTTATTCACTGTCCAGCTTTCGCATCCATATGAGGTTATTGAAAATACCATGGCTTGGGTCAGGCGCACCTTAGTCCTCAAGCTGACATCTCTGCTTTTCAGTACTTTCAAAAGTTCCTGTGCAGCAGATTTGCCCAATGCAATACATCGTCTGATCTCTTGACCAATGAAATCAGTAATGTATAGTGATCTTGCACATGACTGAAATGCATTTCTTACTTTTGCCCATGAAAGGTAATGAATGACTAGTTGCTACAGATGAGTGAAATCTAATGATTTTTAGGTCATCTGAGCTTCATTTTAGGATCAAATGAGATAACACTTGTGAAAGTTGTAAATTATGAAAGATGCTTGTATACGCTCAATACATGCAACTCTTAATTCCAAATAGTTTTTCAAAATTAAGGGAATAAAGTCCTAGTTGTTACACACATACGTATAAGCATACTTTTTAATATTAGCTTCGTTCCTGACTCCATTTTATTTCTTTGCCATTTTCTTTTGCTAAACTTAATTCATAGTTTTTTGTTATATTTTTTCTAGACTTGTTAGCTGCCTTATGTCCACTTTGAAACAATAAAATTCAGTTAAATTTCATTTTAAACATTTTATTTAGCCAATATAATCCAAAATCATTTTTAACAAAAATTCCTCAGATAAAATAACAGAAATAAACCTTTTTTTTTTTTTACGTTTTTATTGTGAATTATGTGATAGTTTACATGGGAGAACATTAGCTTTACGTTCATCCTATTGTATATCGTTTCATTGCTACGATTACAGTCCCCTCCATGCATCATCAAACAACCAAAGGGTATACCCCGAAAGCCTGTACCTCAGTCTTCAGCACACAGCCCCCTCTCCCTCTCT